TGAATGCTTTATTCAATGGAGTTGACAAGAACATGTTTAGGTTGATCAACGCTTATATTGTGGCTAAGGATGCTTGGGAAATTCTCAAGACAACTCATGAAGGAACATCTAAGGTAAAGATGTCTAGACTTCAGCTTCTCACTATCAAATTTGAGAATTTAAATATGAGAGAAGATGAAAGTTTTCATGACTTTTACATGAATGTGCTTGAAATAGCTAATGCCTTTAGTTCCTTGGGAGAAAATATATCAGAAGAAAATCTAGTTAAGAAGATTCTTAGGTATCTTTCTAATAAATTTGACATGAAGGTCATAGCCATTGAATAAGCACAAAACATCATCAATTTGAGAGTTGATGAGCTAGTGGGGTCAATTCAAACCTTTGAAATAACCATAAATGCCAGAGTTGAGAAAAAGAACAAAAGTATTGATTCTAATTCAGGAGATGAAGAGGAAGAAAGTGAACATGACACAAATGAAGGGACGGTCAATGCCATTATGTTACTAGGAAGACAGTTCAATCAACTACTGGAGAGAATGGAAAGGAAGTCAAAACCTAATGTCCAGAACATCATTTCTGACTCTAGCCAGAACTATAACTCTCAAGGAAGAGCAAGAACTGAAGAAAGGACAAATCAAAAATAGAGGATTTAAATGTTATGAATGTGAAGGGTTTGGACACATTAAAGTAAAATATCTTACTTATCTGAAGAAATAATCTAAGGGATTGGCAGCCTTGTGGCCTGAAGAGGAAAGTGAAAGTGATGATGAAACATCAAAACGTGTAACTGCCTTAATTGGGAGATGGGCATCTGATGTAGATTCCGGTGATTAAGAGAGTTCTTATGTTGAACTAGTGGTTTCCTACAAAAATATGTGCATTAAAAGTGAGAAACAGCAGAAAATTATTGCTCAATTTCACTACGAGAAGGAAGAGCGTATGTCCAACATCTACAGTCTGCAGGATAAGGTGACCATGTTGATATTCAAGCTTGAAAATATGACCAAGTCTATAAGAATTTTGAATAATGGCTCTAACATGTTAGACGAAATTCTTCAAGTTGGACAAAGGGATGACGACTTAAGAGGCATATGATTTAATAATAAAGTTCTGAAAGGAGACTCTGAGGCTACTAAATCGGTTTTAACTGGGAGGGTCAAAGAGCCAAGGATGTCAAAACAATTGTCTCAACATCAAGGCAGGAATCAGTTTAGTAAAAAGGGAAGCAAGGTCCAGCAGTTGAGATGTTGTTACTGTGGTAGGTTTGGCCATATCAAACCTTTATGTTTCACACTACATGAATATCCTAGGTCCCGTGCTCAGTGCAAGGTTAGTCATGAAGCATTGAAGAATACAAAGAGGTGGGTTCCTAAAGAGACATTCAAATGAGAAAATGGAATGAATTGTTGTAGCACATTCTTCATGACATCATCCTACTGCATTTGTACATGCCTTATACCATGTATTACAATCCTCTCACATATCCTGCATATGATCAAAGATAAGAGAAGTATAATGAGCATCAAATTACACAACCCACATTCATATACACATACATTAAACCAAGGCAAATGTGTGAACATTCAAGCCACGCCATGCCATATACCATAACTAAACACATTTCTTCACAAAACACAAAGAAGTTGATACCAAAACACTGCATAAATTTATCCACGACCCTATACCTAAAGCTCAACATTAAAAGCAACTCAGAGATTCTCATTGAAACTCTGAATGAGATAAGATATACCCGCACATAAATTCAACGACATCAACACACCATCAAAGAAATATAGAATTACAGTAGAAGAAGAGAGGAGGAAAGGAACTACAACAGAAAGCTAACCTCGTGATCCCTTCGGTTCGAAAACGTTCATTGGGTATTTTTCTTTGACTTCCTTGTTGTGTTGTTGTTAATACTTAAATTGTGCTTGCTTATTTGATACTTGAATGTGTTTGAATGTATTGAAATTATGGTTTTTGACTATCTGTGTAGCTTGAATCCATGTCATGCACGTTTGATTGTTGATGAATTTAGTAACGAGTTTGTGTTCAAATAAAACTAGGTTTATGTTTGAGAATTTGACTTTGGGGGGTTAGGGATTTTGGGAATCTGTGCGGTTCAATCAGGTTGATGGGTTGCCTTTTTGATGTTTTTGACCGGAGATTTGGGATGAAAAGGTCTTTTTAGGTGGGATTAATGTTGGTTCTTTTTGGTTTTGAGGTGGTCCGATGAGGTCTCACCAGAGAAGGAGGCGAAAACCATCGCCAACTGCCATAGAGGGCTCTTTCTCCAGCAGTCTCTAAGTTACATAGAGGAGAGATTTCAGGGTAAGGGTTTGAAGAGCGATATTCGCTCGTTCAAAATGAATTATCTCTCTTCTTTGAGTGATGTTTTGAGGTTTCCATGGACCCTTTTGCATGCGCGCCATGTGTGTACCCTTTTGGCCAAGTGGCCATCCTAGATTCCCCAATATGTTGTTAACTGTAGGTCAACTGGGGGACTCCACATGGATCCCCCCACCGTAAAAATGTTGTGCACGCCCCTGTACCCTTGTGATCTCCTGCATGCTTGATCAATGGGCCTAGGATGGAGTCAACAATGTTGACTCTCCATCCCTTTAGCTGACCCCTTTGACCACCAAATATGGCTTGGGTCTCTTAGGCTTTGGTTATTCGCACCTCCCCATTTGTTATTTTTTGTTGGTGTTTATTATGGTGGGCCTGATATTGCATGCTAGTAACATACCCTTTCTTAGATTATACCTCTTTTCTTTTTCTTCTTCTTTTATGTCATTTATTTATTTTAATTTTGATATTTATTCTAAGTAATTAAATAATAATGTTTGGGGAAAATAAAAAATTATCTTCTCATATTCTTTATTGAATTTTTATTGGTTTCATTTATTTATTTATTTATTTATTTATTTACTTATTTATTTATTTATTTCAAATTAACAAATATGTATCAATATTAATTGAATAAATAGATAACTAATTGTAATTCTAAAATTTTCATTTTTATTTATTCCATTATTTAGTTGATTATTTATTTATTTATTTGTTTTAAAATTAAATAAATGAACATGATAATATTGAATAAATAAGTGAATAAATAATTGTGAATTTTTTAAAGACGATTAAAGTATCATTGGTTCAATAGCAAGTGGGCTTTCTAAAACTTTGGTCCAACACTAGGTACTTCTTTCTTAACCCGATTAAATCATTCTCAATTTAAATAAAACATTTTCTCAATTAAACATAACGTTAAAATCTGTTTTCTTAAATAAAATACGAAAGAAGGGGATCCTTGGAGTCTCGCATTCTTTGAATCCTCGAATAATCGCTCTCAAAACACATGTATTGGGTTAGCCGTTTATTCGTTATTTCACTTCTAAGACACTTAACATAAAAAAATGGACGAAAGGAGGGGCCGTTGAAGTTCAGCATTCTGGTAGAACCTTTGAACAGTTAACTCTGAGGCACTCGTCTTGTTCTTGTTCAAAGGTCATTGTCCATCAAACAAATTTCATAATACATTAAATGGAAAAGGTATCGTTGGGATCTAGCATTCCACTAATACTCCAATTAATTGGTCCCGAGGCTCACATCTCGTTCTGATCAAGTATTCGTCATTCACCTTAAAAAACATTCAAACACATCAGACTTATTTTTTTGCCTCGTACGCTTGAAAACCTTTCACAAGAGAATATTTTTATAATCCATTATAATGTGTATACAACAAATGCAATCTTAACATGTGTTCACCATAACAAACTTTAACCAATCAAACTCTTTTCAAAAGAACGTTACTTAATCCTTTCTAATGCGTATACAAACTAGCGTTTAAGTCTCCTCAGCAAGCACGCAAGTCAACGTTTAACTCTTAAAACGCGATCTAAATACTTGTTCATTAAAAAAACAACCACAAAGTTGTACCATCCCCGAACTACAAATCTTTGAGTTCCTCACTGTACCTGAGGATACGTAGAAGCAAGATTCGCAATCTCGTCAAGCATCATAACAAAAACATTTTTGTGATCCCTTTGATTTTCCTTTTGCACATTTTATCATTTGAAGACAACAATTAATGCAACCTAACATTCAATCGCAAGTTTAACTAAAAGGTTCTCATTGAGTATAACAGACGTGAGGGATGATAATACCTTCCCCTTACGTAATCGACTCCCGAACCTGAATTTGATTGTGACAACCATTTTCTTTCTTTTTAAGAGTTTTATCTATATTTTCCATTTTATTCTTTTAGGATTAAATAAAATTAGGTTGTGACAAACATAAAATTAGTATTTGGATGAGTGTTTTTTGGGGAAGTTTCCCAGAATACGTGAGAGTGAGGACAAAACATGCTGAAAAGACCTGTATTGATTTATGAGATCACTCGGTAGTCCTGAAAGAAGTCCGGAGCATTACAAGGGCGATTTGCAGATGAGTGATATCAGCATTCATGTCGCTTATTAGACTCGAACTGAAGATAACTAAGGTCTTGATTTGTCGGTAATATCGGTGTTAGAAACTGGTTATTCTATTCGGTATCTTATAGGGTGAAACCTTCCTCTCAAGGTCCTATTGTTGATAGTGAATGTGATTTACTTTAAAATAAAGATGCAGAATTTTCTCGATCGGGGGATCTGGCAGAGATGACCAACACTAACGATTACAATTGGGTGGACCATAAGTATATAGAGACACTTTCCCTTTATACCCAGGAGACTGTTATGAGGGAAGTTTCCTTTAAGGTGGGCTCATATTCAAAATAGATGATCATTATGATCCCTACAGATAAACAGATATGCATCAAGTTTGAAGGATGATATATTCCTTTCTATGCCCACATGTTCTAGAAGTTAGGCATCCGACTTCCGTTAACTACTTTTGAGAAAGAGGTACTCAATCACCTTCGGGTTCCTCCTTCATAGATTCATCTGATCTCTTAGGCCTTTGTGAGAGTATTTCAATACTGGTATAAGTATGACGGAGATATGGGTTTAGCTTCTCAGAACCTCTTGTTCTGCCTTTTTTATGTAAACCATGTTCCTAAGAAAGAGGCTGATTATAATATTGTTTCTTTCTGCCGGGGTAACAATAAAGTCTTTCGCGCTTACATGCATAGTTGGAAAAAGTTCAAGACTGACTACTTCTTGGCCACTCTTATTTCTTCTCTCGCCCATGCGAAATTTTTTATTTATTTGACCCCTTCTTCGGAGCCAGCAGTGTATGCAAATCAGAGGAGACGACTCTGGTCCCCGAACCACTTCTTAAATGAGGTTAATTGTTACTATATCTCATATGATGCCCTTACTGATGTGGAGACGACCATGAAGACGACTTTTCTTTCCTTTTCTACTGCTGAGATACATTGTCGGGATACCAATGATGTAAAATATGTTAAGCATAGGAAGGAACTCTTTGGTACCTACTCTATTCTTGCTTCATTTGTGGTATGTGATCATGTATTGCCTCTTATTTGTTAATTTCCCCCCTTTTCAGATGCACTCAAAAGGAAGAAGACCTCTACTGCTCGCACCGTGCCTGTGCAAGATACTGAAGGCCCTTCCTCTACAAAAGGAATCCTCGTGACTGCAGCGACACCCTCAAAAGGCCGAATCAAGAAGAACCATGATAAAGCTTCTTTGGTTGGGGCTAAGAAGGACCATGGTAAGGCGACCATCAGGGGGAGTCCCGCTAAAAGCAATTGAGGTTTGCTCTTGCTATCCACTTGCCAAAAGTGCAGGGAATACTCCTCTCCTGCCTCCTATGTTGGCTGGTCGATTGCCTTGAAGCATGGTAGAGAAAAAGAATTGCGTCTCTGTCGAGGACTATACTCGCGCCTACAAACTCTCAAAAATAGGCAAGTCTAGCTTGTTGGCGGAGTCATACTTCTAGTTGTTGTGAGTGGATTTGCTTATGACTCTGTTTGCGACTGGTCATGAGAAACTTCCGGTCCCCCGACGCTTCTTCTCAAGAGGTCGGGTCTTTGAAGGTTTATTATACTCTTACCGTGGCAAAAATTGCTAGCTTTGAAAGGGATTTTTCTAGGGTGCACAACCTTCTGGACCAAGTGTCTCTTTTCTTGGAGAAAGTGAACTTGCACAGGTCTCCTACGACTTTGATCGGCCGTATAGCAGAACTTGAAGGCCTGCTCGAAGAGGAGAAACGGGGTTCTACTCGAACAGAACTCATGTTGGAGACTTCGTCTTCAAGTGCTCATGCAGTAATGATAGAGCTTGAAGAAAAAAAAGTTATTCAATCTAAGGAGTTGGGGGCTCTCCGAGAAGAGCATACCGATTTAAACAAACAAAACAATTGTTGGATTTCTCTAATGACAGTCTAAAAGAAACTACCTCAATGTTGTGCGTCAGCAAGAGTCGCGCTTGTAAATGATGTTCAGACTTTTCATGACTCCTTCAAATTTGTTGTTAATCATGATTCGATGTAATTTGTTGCTTTGCAAATTAAATTATGTTTGCTACAATATTTACTTGTTGTATTTAGCGTTCACTATGTTTGTTTGCTTTATTTAGCTTTCATTGTTATAATGTGTTGTTTGCATTTCCCATAGTGGGGATGGATGAGACATAGTCATATATTTGCAATTGCATTTTAATGAGTGTTCCGCATCATAGATGATTTTCCCCGGCCAAAGGTAAGATCCTTGTCCCTAACTTCGAGGTATGACTCAGGTGGATACTTCTTAAGGGGAGGTGCACCAGCTATGCAGAAAATCATGTAATATTTTTTCTTTTCGCCTTTGGTATCCTAAATAAAGAAAAGGACATAAAAGTGATCAACAGAAAAAAATAAAATGATATAAGAGTATTTGCATTCATAGTTATGTCAATTTGTTACATTAAAAAAGTGGAACAAACAGATAAATAGCCTTTTCAACTATAATACCGTTTTAATTTAACAACATTTCAAGTCTTTGGTACCTGTTCTCCTTTGAGGGACTCCAAGACGTATGATCATTTCCCGGTGCTACTAGTTTGCCATCAGGGACTTTTTTCCTCCTATGTCAGTTCTTCGCAGTATAAAGTCTCGTGTCTGGAATTCTCTTGGTTTGACACCCTAGTTCTACTTGGAGGTCATAGTTTGCTTGAAACAATGTCCAAATTAAATATTACAAAATAAGGGTGACTCATCCATTTGTATTGAAGGGTGTAAAAAATGTGTATCCAAACATACATCTTTAAACGCTAGGAGTATTTGTGAATTTTTACGATGGTAAAGAAGCATCTCATAGAATTCAAAGAGCAACTCTCAATTTTTATAGCCTGGTTTTATAAAGTCCAAGACCCATTAGGGCCAACCTATTTAAAGTCGGATAACCTGTTTGACAATTTAATTGATTGATTGATAGAGAGAATTCTCATCCGAATTACAATAGGTGTGGTCTATTTATATATTTAAATGGTTAACTAACTAAATCAGTTAATTAGCTCCTAAATCTTAGGAATTGATTTTTCTAGATTCTAGGAATTAGATAGAAACAGTTATGCAGGCAAGTATACCGCCCAGCTAGTAATTATAATAGTGATTATACTATAACAGTTACTTTAATAAATCCTCACATTAGTTTCCCCTTTAGTTCTAGGGGTTTTCACAGAATATTATAAAGACAAGCATTGGAATGATATCTGACATATAGGATAGCAGAAGCTCCCAAGCAACACCTTAAAAGTTACCAGACAATCAAGTAGTTTTTTTTTTAAATGTCTTTTCAGTCAAATGCTCTTTTGAACGTGTTGAAATAAGCTTCTGAGCATAAAATAAGTTAATCCAAACACTGAACACAAAATAAGTCAATTCAAGCACTGAACACAAATACTTTTTACATAATATATGACATCTCAAAATCATTCATAAGGGGATGCCAACAAAGCAATTTCGTGTAACAACTTGGATGCAGTATTATCATCATGATGATTAGGAGCGGTCCATTTCTGAAAATTATGAAGACTACCAGTGAAATCTGTAAACAGACCATCAACTCCAATATTGTTGATCCAGTAATCGTATTCCTTGTACGGATCTTGACTAAAGTTGAAATGCAAATACTTGTTCTCATTTCTGTAAGTGTATGGATGCACCTGCTCGCAGAACATGCAAGACAAGGAAATCAAGAATAGATTGATACGAACTTTCAAAAATAAACAAATTCATGTAGTAATTATATATATATATATATATATATATATATATATATATATATATATATATATATATATATATATATATATATATATATATATATATATATATATATATATATATATATATATATATATATGTGTGTGTGTGAAAGAAAACAAGGTTTGAACAAAGAAGTGCACCTGCAGATTACGAGCATGTGCCCTGGAAACAAGATCGGAAGGAGTCATCGCATAATTATTTATTGCAGGAACCAACGTATCCTTCCATGGTCCGATTCCCACAACATATTGCTTTATGTAGTCAAGGTATGTGTCAGATGTAATTTCCGAATATGACTGCACATCATCATTTACAGAACAACTTTGTTAGGCATTTGTAATATACACTTATAATTGGAAGGAAAAAAATTGTATAACATTAAATGGAGTTTCTTTAGGAAAAATTAAGTACATCAATTTGTGAAAAACTAAGTGATAAGCTAAGGTAAACTGCGTTACTCACCTGATTAGTGTCTTGTGTAGGAATATCCACATCATCGATTAAAAACACCTTGGGCAAGTCCGTTTGATTTGAAATATACACAAGTGAAGTTGGAGCAAAGGACTGAATAAATACAGGTTGTTTCAACCAATTTTTTGACAGGTATGAACCCTTGTATCCAAATTTGTGAAGTGTTTCCACAAATTTGTCCTCAAATTTTTTTCCACCCGACCATTTCACCTGTGTTATTAATATCAATTTAATTAACAGAGAGCAGACAACCTCTAAATAACTTGGCTAAAAAAATAGTAATTAATATCAAATTATCAAGCATGAAATTTTAAGACCTTTGTATTGAACACTCCAACAGGTGATAAAAATCCACCTTTACTACACTAGTCATTATCTTTAACTTAAAGCTAAACTGACAATTTAGCTATTTGATTGTAAAATATAGCAGAAATTATTAACAATCAGATGCATACGCACAATAAGGATGCTGGATTAAAATATACTTTTCTGTTACAAGATATTTCAATGTATAAGATCTCAGTAGCACCAACCATTGAATAAGGTTTGAGGAATGAAATATATTTTTTTGTTAGATAATATATGGGTTGTTCCCTGCAGACAGAAGTTTCTTGATTATAGAGAGAAATACTCACATGCTGATTGATGAGTACTGGACTTTTAATTTCAGGATATATTCCAACAACTCTGGGTGCATCCAATGCTATGGTAATGAACTCTTCAAAAGTGATTATTTGAAATTTCCCTGAAAGAGATTCCAAAGATAACTTTAGACTTGGCTGTTTTTATACGCGCCAAAATAAATAATAGTTTCATATAATAATCATGAGAGAGAAACTAGTCATCAATAGATGGATCCTTTACAAAAAAATCATTGAATCATTTTAAAATCCGATGGGGCTTTGGCACGTGTAATATAATCGAAGAAAAGAAGGGAGTGTGAGGTGAGTCTGGGCCAGGAGAAATGTATGTTTATGTGAAGAAAAATAGGAATCCCGCTAGGAGTAGGCATGAAATGGTAGAGAGACTGTAACAGAAGGTGCAAGTGACATGAAGTTATGAGAGGAGAGAATTATGCAATGATGGGTGTTGAGAGTCTGTTAGACTTCTTCTAAGGGCAATTATAGGCAGTTAAGTTATTATGAAAGTTATATTATTTAGGAATAAATAGGGGAAAGGATAGGAGAAAGAGATTATGGTATAGTTATTGAATGGTTTTGGGTGGGAGAGACCAAGCTCTTTACTTCTTGGAGGGAGAGACCAAGACTCTAAAATTTCTTGGATTAGTTTATGTGTGTATCATGTATTATCTCTCTAGTGTTTGTAATTATGTGTCTGTTGTAATCATATTCTGCCGTAAATAAAAGTCAGTTTCTACCATTAATTTGAATGTTGGTACCGGTTTCTATCAGAGTCCTACATCGGATGAGACTTGGCCAGAAAAATGACTTTATAAGTGAAAGACATCCATCACCTTACTAACTGAGTTTGTAGGGGTTGAGTTAGACCAACCCAAATTCTAAGATGGTAATGAAGCCTATCAAGATCCGTTGGACTAACCGCAATTGGGCCACTTAGGTCACAGACCTGATGTCTAGATCTGGGCAGGAGGAGATGGGGTGTTGAGAGTTCAACATCAGATGAGATATGACCAGAAAGTGACTTTATAAGTGGGAGACACCCCTCGCTTTACAAACCAAACTTGTAGGGTTGAGTTAGAGTACTTTGCAGAGGAAATATCTCCTTTAATTCTATCTTATCTCAATATCAATATCAGTTCTTATCAAAATCTATCATGAACTAAAAATCTTATTTACAACGAGTTTAGAAATACCTGGTGACAACAGAATATCTTGTAGTCAATATGTTATGTATGAAAAATTCAAACAGATGAAGAAATTACACACAATGGAATGCAAGAAGCTACTAAGAATAGGGAGATACTAACCGTTAAATTGTTGATCCCTAAAGCTCCACCTCTGATTCACCCTCAATGACTTTAGTTCCTTTAATGTGAAATCCACTGCAAATATGTAAATAGTTGAATTACTTTAGCAAATTAGATTCACTTAACAGTGATGAAGAAACTGGATGAAAAAACAGAATATTATATCTGATGTTGTTCAATTAGAACTATGGATTAATGTTCATAAATCTAATTGAAAACTATTCTTGAATTATGGGCGTTAAGATATGTCTTAGAAGTAGAGCCAAAAAATTAAGAAATACATCTGTAAAAGAAAACAAGGAAATTCTATAAATCAAGGAAAGACAATCAAGTAATTCATGAACATAATTTAACTCACAAGATTCCTACAAAAAGAACCAAATTTGTTTAGATGCCCAAGAAAACTTTCAATTTCAATACAAGTAGATAACTTGAAACATGAGCTGAAAAAATTAAGAAATACATACGTCACTAGAAAAAAATGAAATTTGAGATACATTTCAAGTTTATGCAGTTAACAAAGAATAGCATCGGTACCAATAAAATATCCAGTGGTATTGACCCCTTGATCTTCATATGTTCTTTTACGATCAGCAAACTCTTTGTAATTTGCTACGTCAGTAGTATCATCAAGGGTAACATCATGGAAGCATACAAGAACACCATCTTTGGAAGATAAGATATCAGTTTCAATGAAGTCTGCACCTTCCTCAATAGCTCTCTGCAAAGGAAACTCATTATAAGACAAGTATAAATAAACCAAAGATGAAAACGACAGTGCATAATTTAGCATAGAATGTAATTTTGGCAAAGCAGTTATGTAGATTCACCATGTAAGCCTGATGAGTTTCTTCGGGAAGTTCACCGTTTGAACCCCTATGTGCAATGTTATAAGGGCGAAAAGTTTGAAGAGGCTGTCTACTTCCATGGTTACCTTTTCCCGGAAGTGGATACAAAGGCCTCGCCGTGCTCCCGATGACGAGCAATAGAAACACAAAAGGGGCAAAACCTGTTTTGTTTAGATTGATTACACCAAGTTAACAGATAAGTTAAAAATTATTACAGAGTAGAAATTAGACAATAGAGTTTCTCCGAAACAGAGAAGTTAGCAGGCATAATAAATTAGAAAAAGAAACAATTGAAATTGTGATGATAATATATAAAACCTAGAATTTGAACCATGGAATGAATTACAAAAATGAAAGCAGGTTGGTAGGTCCAAACATCGATTTATTTATAAACTAAACGATTTGAAAAATGATTATTAGAAAGAAATAAAATTGATTCCAGAAACCCAGGGCAACAAAAAAGAAAACGGAAGCAATATAACGAACGGTTAGATTCTTACGGGATGGTGAAGGCAATGCCATTGAGGTGTCGATGATGTGTTTGTTTTTATTCCTCACTCAGTTCATTTGTATTTGTAATAAAGTTCAAGTTCATTTGTATTTGTAATAAAGTTCAATAAAATGAGTCTCGTTAGGAATGACTAATAAATGAGTTGAAAATGGTAGATTAAGATTTGTGGATCGTTGGTTGCCGCGGAAATAGGGTCCACGAAGGAATATTCTCCGCATATGTGAAGTGAACCTAAATTAGCTTATTCTATGGGGAACGAACGAGGAAACGATCATTCATGGCGCCACAGGAAGAAAGTACCTCGCTTCTACTTCCTTTATTCTTGCAAACTTCACAGGGTGCTTACATGTGAAAAATTAATACTAACTTCAGGGTTAACAGGTGTCATTCTTTCTCTGATTAAAAAAATAGTACTACTCCACTTGCGAGTTTGAGTGGTTGTTAAAACTTGATACATCTTGTCCAGTCTTGTCTAATGTACTCACTATCTAATGTACTCACTAGAACATAGCAAAAAGTTTTATTTATATAATTATCTTATGATTCAAATTGAAATAGGTATACGCTTTGATACCTTTAAATTTATTGGATACCGGTATTCTCTTTATGTGTGACTTAAATTTTTTAATTTTATAGAAAATAAATGAAATTTGAGATTATGATTCCAACAATATGATTGACTTATATATTAATATAATAGAAATTATCGTCATCAATTATTTTTATAGATTTTGACATGGATCTTTTTACGTGGACTTCAGCGCTCTAACTTGTTTTCACGCGTCTTTAATGTTAAAACAGTTACAAACTACCCATCATGTTGATAACTTCTTTTTAATCCTCTAACTAACTGCTTATGGTCGAGAATTTTTGGCTGACACCTATAGTATTTTCTCAACATCCTTAGTTTTGCTGAGTTATAGACTAAAAATACATTAAATCTCCAATATCAGCTTGACGTGTCGAACTCAACTCTTCTCGAAGTGTTGATTTGTGTAAATTTTTTCGATATTTTGAATATGTTTCGAAGAGAGAGTGATCATAATTTTTATGGATATATTTCTAACACTCTTCCAAATCAGGCTCCATGGGTGGATAAAATACATTATGTCCAAAGTCATCCGACGAGGTGGTCAAACCATCTTTAGCAGACATGGTTAATATGTCAAAATTATGTCTGAGGTTCTTAACACTGCATTTTCAAACGTGGTTATTACTATTCTTTGTTGAATTTTTTTAACTAAAAATTACAGGCTAACATTGAGATGACTGTTTTAGAAGCTTTAAGTGATACCTTGTTAGTTGTAGATGCTTCTAACTTGAGTAGTGATCGAGTAATTGCGCCATCAATTTTTTATTTTTTTGCAACTTTGATAATTTAAAGTTTTCTTCTTTTCATTGTCGGACAGGATTGTTATAGCAAGGAGAATACAATAAGTGATGTAGATAACAAGCGATCAGGGTTTTTACCATAGATCGTCATAGGGGATTTCAATCTCGTTGTCGCGTTTACCTTGTCTATGATTTTATTATCGGATCCACATGACTTAGTCTGTTTTCCATCATTTTTTTATGTTGAATGAAATTGTATAAAAATCGGATCCGCCAATTTAGACAAATTGGATACAAATGTGTAATATAGCAAATCCCCTTTAAGATACTTCGAAAATCTTAACATGAATCGCACATTCACATTAAAGCATATCAATCTACGATATTTAACAAAGTAAAGTTCTCTCATTTATTCTCGTGCAGTAGAAAAATAAAAAAATGACTTAGATATAATTTTTGGCATTCGAAACGTGTAATTTTTTGTGTATTATTATGTCTAACGAGTATCTCTATTTATAGAAAAGTTTGTACCAATTGGTGAGGAGAAACAATGTTTCAATGGTTTCAACATGACCATTTGCGAACCATTGTATATCAATAATAGCAAACATTTTCACGAAAAATTGTGTTTGTCTGGTGGTGGCACCTTATGTCCACGCGCACGCTGTAACGCCCCGATTTCGATTATTCCCATTTCGTTGAGTCTTTTGATTTAATTGGGTGATTATTATTTTAATTGTGGAATTTATGTGATAATATGTTATGTTTGCATATTGTGCTATTTTACCGATTTTGAGAGTTTCGGGGAAAATAGTTGGGAGGGTATTTTAGACATTTAGCATTTAATGTTAAGTTGGATATTTGTGAGAAAATGGATTAATAGATGTTTTGAGAGAAATAGAATAGAAAGAGATATAAATGGATTAATAGACATTTCGCATTGTTTTATCCGTTTTTCTAGTCTTTGGTTTGTTTTGTCGTAGTTATTTGCAGTGTTTTCGCATGAGTCTTAGTTTAATAACTTTATTGCTTTTGCCGCCGGTGCGTTTGATTTGGTTTCTTTTAGTGTATTTTTTGCAGGAATCGGTGGTCGGACATCCGTACTGTTTCGAAGACAAAGAAAAGCCGAAAAAGCACAGGTCAGAGGCCTGACACGGGTGCCCGTGTTACACAACACGGCCCGTGTCATGAGGGACACGGCCAGGAGGACACGGGTGAAAAGGAGAAAAGAAGATTTGGAAACAGAAGACAACACGGGTGCCCGTGTCACACAACACGGCCCGTGTTGCAGCCCCTGATGCTTTTTTCTCTGTTTTGAGTTACAGCAGCCTGACACGGCCACCCGTGTCACACAACACGGCCCGTGTCAGGGCCACTGATGAGGAAAATGTTGTTTTTTATTATTTTTCACTATGGAAGCCATTTTGAAGGGCATTTTAGACATTTTATCATGTAATTTGAATTGAGATATATTAAGCCTTATTTTGGAAAGAAAGGAGGACGTTTTGGATTAGGATTGAAAGGAGAGAACTGAAGCCGGAGAATTCGGAAGAACAAAGGATCGATCAAGAGCGGAAGCAATTGATGATCCAAGTCCCCCAATTTCAATTGTAATGATCTTCTCCTTTTTAATTCTAATTACTTTTATGTTGACCAAGAACATGAGTAGCTAAACCCCCAAGTTGTTAGGGGGTGGTCCTTAATACGATGTAATGACATTTATTTAATTATTCTACGAGAACTATGTTTTTACCTTAATATATTTGATTTTGCATTAATCTTATTCGTATTCATATTGGAAAGTAGAATTCGAATAGTGCTTAGGCTTAGTCTGGAAAGTCAACCTAACTCTTTTGCAAAATAGTATCACGGTCGATATTGCTTAGGAATGAGGATATCTCGTATCACGTATTTTATGGTCGGAATTATTGCTTGATGTTTTTCAGGGACACTGAGGAATTAGTGAACAGGAAAATCATCAAAGGGTTTCCATTAAGGAATTAAGGCAACTAAAGTGGTCAACTGATAAATTAAGGTTAATAACTAGTATAGTAGAATAATCATACAGGGTCTTTACTCGTATAGTCTCCACTCCCCTAACACTGTTCTTAGATTAATTAATTAAGTTCGTATTTACTGTGATATTACTCTGCTACCAAACAAACCACTAGACCTTTTGTTCAATTGAATTCTAAAAATTCCGTTAATTACTACGCAGTCCTCGAGATCGATACTTGGGACGTTTCCCTTATTACTACAATTGGTAAAAATAGTACACTTGCTATTTTCCCGATCAAGTTTTTGGCGCCGTTGCCGGGGACTGCCAAATTAACATTGTTTTTAGAATCCAAAAGAAATTTTGTTGCTCTGCGACTAAAATTTTATTGTTTACTGCATTACTTTTATCCATTTATTATCTAACGCTTGTCTAATTGTGTATGTGAGGTCAAGCCTCAGCTAAATATTCTTTTGATACAGAACCAGAACGAGCATTACACGAAAGACGGAGATTAGCTAAAGTTAAAAGACTGGAAGAAATAGAGGAAATTATATCCGTGCAGAGCGACTCCGAAGAGAGAGAGACACCACCTGAGACTGTTCAAATGGATGGAAATCCACCTCAGCCTGAAAGACTGCTAGGAGACTATGGAGGGGCCAATGCTCAACCGAACCGGATGACCATTGTGAATCAACCGGTGAATGCTGCGCATTTTCAGCTACACCCTTCCACCATCCGTCAGTTGGAGAGCAAGCCGTTTGCCGGAAGAATCAACGAAGATGCAAATAAACATCTTCAGAGATTCCTCACAACCACCACCTCGCTGAAAATAGAAGGACATTCCGAAGAGGCCAAGAGATTAGTTATGTTCCCGTTCACACTCACTGATGATGCGGAAGAATGGTTTTACTCGCTTCCCGCTGGGAGTATCACAACATGGCAAGAGATGGAAACTGCGTTCCTGAATGAGTATTTCCCTGCCTCAGTGTTCATCCGAAAAAGATACGACATTGTCAACTTCAAGCAAAAAGAAGGAGAATCTTTAGGGGATGCATATAAGCGGTTTAAGAGGTGTCTTACAGCATGTCCTACTCATAACCTGGACGCCACGGAGCAGATGCAAAACTTTGTGAATGGATTACGACTCAAAACGAAACAGCTCATAGATACTGCTGCCGGTGGCTCAAACAACTTCTCAACAGCCACAGGTATCAGAAGGATCATAGAAGCAATCGCCGCGAACGAGCACCTTGAGTTGTATGATCGCACGGTAAACCAACCGGAAGGTAAGATTGATCTGAAGCTGGCAGACCAGGTTGTTAAAATGGAGGATCAGATCATCGCTGAGGTAGAGAGAAGGTTAAAGAAAATGAATGTTGAAACTCAGGCAGTGGCACAGGTTGAGCCAGTTCAAGCAGCACCTTGTGAAATATGCGGTGGGCCACACTTTACAATGCATTGTGTAGCAACCCAAGAGCAAATGGAACAGATTAATATGTTGAGGCAGAACAATTCTTACGCCAACACATATAATCCTGGTTGGAAGAATCACCCAAACTTTTCATGGAAAGATCAACAAGGTAATGTGCAAAAACCTATTCAAGGCCAACAACCGTATCAACCTCAGCCACAACAATACCAGCAGACACCGTACCAACCTCAATATCAACCACAAGCGCC